GAGTTCATTCGGAGCGCTCATCCAGCCGAGCAGTTCGCCAGCACCCTCAACGGGAAACATAGCAACTTTGAAGACGACTGTCGACCACCTGAAGAAAACCGACAGCTCGATTCGTGCAGACACGCCCAGGCTCTTACGCAGCTTCCCATCGGGAGATGTCTCGCGATGACTACCCAGGTGTTGATAGCCCACACGGGCCAGCGGTTGCAGGTTGTCGACACGACTCCGTTCTCTTCACTTGATGAGTTCAAGAGCTGGGTGGCCCGCCAGACATCTATACCCTCCCACCAGCTCGTCGCCTTGACGGGACAGGGCAAGACTGTCAAGGTGGCGAGGCTGCACCAGGAGGTTCGACCGGTCCCATCGCTATCTGCTGTGTATTGCATGACGTGCTGACTATTTGGCTTGTAGGGCGAAGTCTACGTCTATGATCTCAGAGTCACATCAGCCACGCCTGGCTCTGCCGAGTCTCTCGTCTCCGAAGTCCCCGCCCCGAAACGATATGCTGTTCCCAAGGCCCCCGACTACATCGACAACAGCCATGACATGGCGGCGTGGCAGACGCTGTGCCGCGAGCGGCAAGCTTGGGCGTTGGGCCTCGCTGCTGACGCGGCGCGCATGGAGGAGACGACGCGCGAACGCTACAGCGAGATGGACATCATGATCAAGTGCCTCGACGCAGCCGTCGCCAACCTTGAACTCAGCATCAAGAAGATCGAGCCCCAATATGCTGAGCTGAAGAAATACGTCAAACCAGCATTGGAGGAACATACCCAGCTGGCAAGCAACTGGGAGCAGTACCTGAATCTCGCGAAGAATGTCCCCATTTCGGCAGCCATGGTCAACTTCATGACGTCCAAGGATGTCAAGAAGAAACAAGCAACGCTGGATGACTTGCTGCAGCTGGACACGGTGAAAAAGGCGGGTTCGCTGGCGGCTACATCAGAAAAGAAGTTTGCGCGGAAAGCCAGCGACCTGGACAAGGCCGTCGACACGATGTACCAAGGGCTGGAACATCTGATTGGTGAGTTCGAAAACCTGGTGAGCCGCTCGGCTTTGTCGCACAGCGAGGAGGCCGGGCAGCTTCTTCAGGACATTGAGGCTGTCGTGGGCAAGATTGATACGGATGCCCAAATTGTCCAAGAGTACGGCCAGCGCGACCTTGCGCAAGCCTCCAAAACGGCACAAAACCAGACGGAACGACTCATCCCAAGTTTGAGGAAACGAGCGAAAGAGATGGACGACATGCTTGCGTATGCCACGTCTGCGCGCAACACCATTGCGGCGGACGCCGTCGACTTCATGCGTACGATCAACGATATCTCAAACCTACATGGCAACGTTAAGACCCAGTGCCAAAATCTCCGCGAGTCCGATGAGGATATGACAACGTTTGACTACCTTCGCCTGATACACCAATTGCCGTATATGTATTCCTCGTTTGTTGGCGAAGCCATTCGGCGACGAGAGTGGACGGAGAAGGTGAAAACCGACTCTTCAACCTTGGCCAACGAGATGGCACTCTTCCAAGACGAGGAGTCGAAACGTCGGAAAAAGTGGCAGAAGAGTATCGGCAGTACATATGGGCCTGACAGCTTCAGCAATACCATCTTGGGATTAGAGGTGAACCTGCTAGGCGAGGAAGAGGAGTGGCCAGTCATGGCGAAGCCCGACCTAGAGGAGTTTCTCGGGCACCTCAAGCAGCAGCAGACTGAAAGCGCATTACTAGAAGAGGTACAGGAGCTTGTGAACGAGCTCAATGCGCCGACAAAGCAGCAGTCGAAACGCGTCAAGGCTTTCAAGAACGGAAGTGTTCACGAGGCAGCACTGGGTAGGAGTGGCTTGATGATTCGCGGCGATGATGACTTGCTCCGGACGTTGCAAGAAGACAAGATGAAGCTCGAGAACAGGCTCAAGACAGCCGAAAGTAGAGTCAGGCGTCTCGAGGATCTTCTTCATCGAGGTCAGGCAACACGTCCAGGCCTAGGGTCTCTGTTCGGACACGACCGCAACGACTCTACGGCTTCGATCAAGTCGACCCCTATGTCCGAGGAGCGGCGCCATTCGTCGGCGGGTACAGACATACTGCAACAGAGGATACAGCAGCTTGAAACGGACGTCGCCGCCGAAAGGGAACGCTCTACAGTGTTGGAGAAAGACCTCCTCGCCCAGATGACGCAGCACAAGGACACCCAGGGTCAGATGGAGGAGGCCAACATTACGAAGAAGGACCTGCTTGGAAACATGGAGGCACTCAAACGAGAATTTGTCGAGGAGCGTAAGTCGCTCGAAGACGAAATTAAGACCCTGAAAGCTCGCATCGAAGACAACGAAGATGAAATGGAAAACTTTGGCGAGTCCAGGGAGAATGAGAAGGCAACATATGATGGCCGTGTCTCAGCGCTTGACCAGGAGATCGAGAGGCTCCGCAAGGAACAGAAGGATGAGGCACTGAAGGCTCAAGGCCAAGTCGAATTTCTTCGCAACGAAGCTAGACTACAGCGCGAGCAAAATGAAAGCCTCGAGATGCAGCTTCAAGCAGTGCTTGACGAGAACAGGACGGTCTTGGCAGAGCTCGACATCTCGAGGGAGTCAAGCAGCTCTCAACGCAAGGCACTACGAAGCCTTCATGAGCAGCTTGCTCCGAATGACAGGCTCCCTGAAGACATGCTCGATCTGATCGACGCCACGCTGGCGCGGTCAGCTGAAGTTGTCGCCAGACTGCAGTCTTCAGATAACGACAAGGCTGTTCTCAAATCCAACACTGAGAAACTACATGAAGAGCTCACAACTCTCAAGGATGAGCTCGCCGAGTCTCAGAAACAAGTGGCCACGAAAGAAGAGTCAGCTATGCACCTTCGAGAAAGCCTGGACGAAGAGAGAGCCAAAGTCAGTGCTCTTGAGAAAGATGCCGCTGGCGCTCGGAGTCAGCTGGACCAACTTCGTGCCAAAATTGCACACGGCGAGACTGGCTCAGAGAGCTTGCGGAAGCAACTGGACGAAGTTGAGCAGAATGCCAGAACCATCGGCGAAGAACTTGCTTCCAAGCAATCACAGGTGGGCAGCCTCGAAGAGAAGCTTCACATGTTTCCGCGAAAAGCTCCAGGTGTCACAGGATCATCACTCGGCGCTGACAGGAAGATTTGACGCGCGGACTGGACCACACGAAGAACTTGACGCAACGTATTTATGCTCAAAACGATCGAATGTGTCGACTTTTAGAACGGCTTGGTTTTGCTGTTACTCGCGACAAGGCCTCCTCGGCGATGACCTCACCAAGGTCCCCAGGGCCGAGCGTGGTTCCATGAGCCAGACACAAGTTGCCAATGATTCGTCTGACCAGGGTTCCCATCGATCCGCCGTTCTTCCACGTTCCAGAACCGCAATTTGGCTGACAGTACCGACCTGGAACTACTGTACTGGATGAACAGTAGCGAGATTGGAGCTGAGCAAAACAAGTACGATGCGTTCATGAATAAGTTGGGCCACTTTGATATGGACCAGTTCGCCGAGACAATTTACCGCCGCGTCAAGGACGTTGAGCACTTGGCACGAAAGCTTCAACGCGATTCTCGTGCTTATCGCGAGAAGGCTCGCTCCTTGCAAAAGGATGCCCACGAGAAGATTGCTTACAAACACTTCAAAGAGGGTGATCTCGCCCTCTTTCTTCCTACAAGGAATCAAAGCTCGGGGGCTTGGGCTGCCTTCAACGTCGGTTTCCCGCATTACTTCCTGCGCGAGCAGGATAGCCACCGACTGCGGTCACGAGAGTGGCTCGTGGCGCGCATCTCGCGGATCGAGGAGCGAGTCGTTGACCTCTCCAAGAGCCTCCACAGGCAGCTCCCGGACACGGACTCTTTCAACGACGAAGACGATAATCCATTTCAGCTATCCGATGGACTGCGGTGGTACATGATCGACGCTGTGGAGGATAAAGCTGGGGCGCCGTCGACACCTGGCCTCGGCAAGTCGACCATCGCGACGAATAATGTCGAGGCTCGCGCAGACATGCATACCCACGCGCAAGCCAGCGCAAAGGACAAACAGCGGGCTGCGGGCCACAGCATCGAGGGCGTCAGTAAGGCGCTGTCCAAGAGCTTAGAAAGTCGGCGTAGCAGCACAAATTCGAAGAAAGCCCTACCCCTCGGTGCGGGCGCGCATCTTCTCAAAGGCAACGCTGTTGCGAGCGAGACCAACTCTCTGCGCACGGCGCCAGCGGAGAGTCCCGCCTGCGCAGGAGCCGCAGGCGCCAGAGGCCGAGGTACGAAAAGATATCGATTCCCTGATGGGGCCCTGAGCACCGCTGATCCAAAGGGTGCAGGCGTCTGGGCCAATACTCGCGCGCGAGACGAGCGGTGTTAGTGAAGCGGCATCGAAGAGGAGTGTGGTGTGGGACCCGCTATGGAGCGTGGATGTAGCGTTTGAGAGTGGAGGGAAGCCGACATGATGTAGTTTTGCATGGTGTATCGGTCATCATAGACCCGAGACGCCCTATGTGTACATCGTACTTGGGGTTACTCCATGGCATGTAGTACTATTCCTAGCGCTGTTTTTTTCTTTCATATAGCATTTCGGTGTTGGTGGTCGGGCACTGGGCAAGCGACAGAATACAATTCAAATTGTATAGAAATGAGTTGCATGTTATTGCCTTCTCTGGCTAAGCCGGCGAAACGTAATCGGCTGTCAGTCATAGTCCGTCTCGGTGCCGTACAAGAGAATGCGCGTTGCAACACGCTGCATGTATTTACATACAGTAGCACACAAGCGGCGGTAGGGTATTACACAGTTTGACACGCTGTCGTTTTTGTTTTCAATCAAATAGTGCTCGATTCGACTACTGGGTTGAACAGCACGTCATAGCGTCCTTGTCAAAGATTCATGTTGCCAGTACAGACATGTCATTTTTGATGAAGGTCGTCTACAGATGCCTCTTCGGAATAAGGGTTCAGAAACACTAGCATCATGAATGCACGTGTCAATCGAGGCTTCCACCGTGTTTTCTCCAGAGAAGATTGGTAATGAATAGACGCTTTCCGTCGAATCCAGCTGTGATTCATGAAGCTGTCTGCTACTCACACAGATATAAAGCATTGTTCACGTGTGCTGGCGACTTGTTGGGAAACAGCTATTGGCCTGTCCAAGCTTCTTCGAGCGAAAGGCACGCCTCACTGGCTTGTCCGATTGACGAAGTCGATCACAGATCTACTAAGCAAGGGTGTCATATGGCACTCGACACCCTCAGTTGGGCTACCTTGCGCAAGTCATCCACAGGAAGAAATGGCTTGCATGATTTACCATGCTGGCGGAGGGTTTTCCCCCGCGTCGACGCCACCGTTGGCGAGGCCAGCCGAGTGAGAGCCCCTTAAAGATGGGGGTACTGGACAACGCCCAGAATATGGCTTAAAACCCCAAAATGCCTACCATGGAGGAGCTCAGCTGAAAGAGCGTGCAATGATTCAAGTTGTCTTGACGCTGTCTTGACTCTGTTGTAGAACTACTGGCGACATCGCCGCCACCATGCCAGAGGCCGCTGTCTGTGTTTCTACGAAGGAATGGAGTGGAAGTGAAAGGCTGTGGCGCACTGCGGCCACAGTGGCTGTGTCCCCGTTGTCTCAAGACTGGTCTCCTCCTGCCAGCACTTCATCAGACACCACTACCATTGGCCGCACCTCGCATGTTGACGCATATCGATACGTGGAGCTCCTCAATGCCATTCTCTTCGGTTCAGCATTGCCATGGCTATCGTTCGGGGTCGCATTCCATCATCGACATCTCCCGCAAAATGCCCGAGATAGGCGAAAAACGCATGCCGCCAAACGCCTCCGTAGCTTAGGATGATGCTTCTCGACGCCTCTCCCGCCATCCCCGCACTAGTCGATTGACTTGAGCTGAGACTGCTTCTCACAGGCGTTCTCGCCATCCTGTGTAGTACGCTACAGGACGCACCTTCAGAGAACATTCGGAACGGCAGCACGGGCACGCCACACGTCACCCAAATTTCTCGTGGGACATGTCTCTTGGCATCAACCTAGGCAGGCATGTTTCCTGGTCGCACCGACACCGACCAGAGAGCGAACCCGAGGCGGCCATTGCTGTTGTTGTCGCCCAACACTGGTCTTTTCGTCGACGAAGTTGCTGGTTCATCCGATCGCTCGGCGACAAATTGATACAGCTGTCTGTCATCCTGTCCTACAACTTCAGGGCGGAGAAAATCGCTGCGCAAGCTCGAGCCACCAACTGGAGGTCCGGGGACAGGTAGACACAGACGCTAGACTACAGGATACAGGCCAAGATTGTTTCGTGTGGATGCATGTTTCCCTCCCTGCTTCTGCGCCGTCACCACAATCAGTCACAGGTTGAACGCCCCCACCAGCTCCTTCACCGTCGCAGATGCTTGCTTTTGTCATGGTCCTTGTTGAACTTCTGACACACGCGCGCGTGTGATTCTGAGATACAACAGTGTCTCGCACAATGCGGCACGCAATGGCGCGTCATCGAAAAAGCAGGAGGCGGGCCTGTACGCCCGGATACCTTTAGGACAATGTACCAGCTAGTGACTGGGGACAGAACCTGGCCGTTGGGTCCTCGGGAAAATTCGATGCCAAACTCGATGGACGTCCTGGATCCACCCCATATCATCCAGTTTTGGGTACTTCTCCCACCCAAATGCTCCAGCTTTTGGTATGATTCGACAGTTGGGGGCGAGGACCTTGACCTAATCAGGGGTACGAGGGCTACAACTGGCTCAGATTGGGGATGTTCCTGCATTAGCCCTTACGACCAAGGAGTGCCGAGAGCCCCTAGAAAGAAGACTGTCTCGTGTCCGGACTTGGCGACCACCCGACTCGTACGAGGGGTGCCCAGCGACTTGGGCGACACGAGTTGAGGTCTCATGGCAAGACCAGAGAATTCGCCAGGAACCTGATCGCGAGCCCTATACTGCAGCTCATCAATGCGGCACTGATCATCTCGCAAACTCGTCGCCTCTCCAGTACCTCGTACACGTTCTACAGGTACAGCAACCGACCATCGACTGTAGCGCAGGGCCCAGGGCGGTGTTACGAGACCTTGCCTGATATCACCTAACGCAAGCTGAACCTTATCCTTTGGTTCACACCATGCGACTGACCTCAGCGTGCTCATCCATGGTATCCCCTCTCGAGCCTCGAGCCACATATCTAGTTGCGGTCATGACTGAACATTGCCAGCCCAAGACCCATCTCCGAGTGTTCTCGCACTCCAAACACTGTCAGCAGCCCGAGGCATGAACAGTCTTGGCCTTCGTCGTCGTTGACACATTTCTGGTAGCTGTTCCCACTTGGTAACAGAGGGGTGGGGGGTTCTTGTGGCTCACGCTGACCCTCGGCCAGCTTGGCGCTCCACGCCTTGTCTTACTATCGCAATGCACCAACGATTTGAGGCGTTTCTGGGGGCCAACCGGCCGGCTTCCTTGCGTTTCGCGCAGCTTGACGCTTTTCGCACCAAACCCCCCGGTCGTGGTGGGTTATGCTTATAATTGGCCTCGGGGCAGTCTTGCGTGCCCACCATTTCACTGCGCTCCATCCCGGACGATGCTCGATGTCGTAGCCACTCCGCCCACCCCTGCTCTGATCAGTTGCAAGGCCAGCGCATTGATACATGGTCATCTCCCACTGGGAATACGGATTATGGAGTCTAGCAGCCTAGGTGCTCGCCCGACACTGCTTGGCATGCAGTCCAAATATAATAGAATGCTCACTCTGCTGCCTGCTTGCGTGCCCGGCTTGTATGCTCTCCTTATCGGTTTTGATCGCTCCAGTCACTCGCTTTTTTGCTTCGTTCGTCCATAATGTTTATCAACGCTCCTTCAGTTTCACTACTTGCGACCCTCGCCGCTCTCAGCGAGGTAACTTTCGCCGCGCCTGGCAATGTGCAAAAGAGAGAACTTTCAGCTCGTCAGGATAGTCGGCCGCGCCTTGGCAATGTAGCCTACGGTTCCGAGATTGTCTCGTGCAGCAGCCCCGGCAAGATTGCCCTCACTTTCGATGATGGGCCGGGTACTTTGACGGCCGGCATCGTCGACACCCTCGAGAAGAACAATGTGAAGGGCACCTTCTTCATGGTTGGAAAGAATGGAGGGGATGGACTCACCACCGGGAACTACGACTCGCTCCTCAAGCGCATGCATGCCAGCGGCCACCATCTTGCCAGTCACTCATTCAGCCATCCCAACTTTGACGAGATCGACTACGACCAAAAAGTGCTTGAGCTCGAGAAGAACGAAAAGGCTTTCGCTGACATTCTCGGATTCATCCCAACTTACTTCCGCCCTCCTTACACCGCCTGCAACCAGGAGTGCTACCAGGCCCTTGGGGATATGGGCTACCATGTTGTATGTTCTCGTTTTCTGGGGAGAGGGATAAGGAAAACACTGACCTCGTTTGCAGACTGACTACGACCTCGACACCAAGGACTGGGAGGCCGGCGGCGTCAACGCCAAGGCAAGGTACAGCTCTGCCGTCAAAGCCGCCGACCCCTCCTCTAGCTCGTTCATCTCGCTGTCTCACGACATTCAGGATTTCACCGCCAACGGTTTCGTCCAGTTCATGATTGACGTGGGCAAAGAGAAGGGTTTCCAGTTCGTTACACTCGGCGAGTGCCTCGGCGACCCTGCGAGCAACTGGTATCGTGACCCGAAGACCTTTGGCCCTGCCGATACCTCGATCGACCCCCCCGAGCCCAGCACCACCTCGATTAGCAGCACTGCGACACCAACATCCACCAAGGCCCCCGAGCCCAAGAAGCCCAAGGAGACCACCAAGACAGAGTCGGAGGCGTCAAGCTCCACCAGTATTGCCAAGTACATCCCGGCGCCCACAGACGGTCGCTTCATCGAGGCCAGCTCCATCGTTGAAACTTCAACCTTTGTGTCTGAAGACGCATCAACCACAGTGACCCTAACTACTACTTTCGCCACCACGACCGCCATAACAATCGCTTCTTCTGCTGTCACGAGCAGCACCTCCAACACTACCAACGCAGAGCCCTCGACGCCCACCGAAACCAGCAGCGAGTCCGCGCCGTCGGCCGTTGATGAGGACAGCGCCGCCATTGCAGTGCCTGCGCTCTCCAGGACCTTTGTCAGTTCTCTGGTGGGTTTCGCAGCCTGGATGCTTCTCTAGAAGGGGGCAGCAAAAGGAACTCTCCAAGCAAGCCCTGCGCGGTATTCCTCTGGAGAGATTGGGCGTTTGACGTCCTCATACGATTACTATGTGATACGGTGCACGGTGAAATACCCCGCTGGTCTCGGTACATAAACAAACATACCTTACGCACCATGATGGCACCCCTTTTCTATCTTCTCGCGGGACTTATTTGACTGATGGCCTCACCGGGATGAAAGGAGGACTACTATGTTATTTCCCACACGCCGTCTGAGCTATGCGATACCCGGCGAACATGATGTTTCGTCTAATGAACGTGTAAACTTTTGATAACCTTTTCATAAACATACTGGTCTGCGTTTCTCGGCCCATGAACATAACTATGAGGGTATTTTGGCATGGAGAGACCCCGCATGGCGGAAATTATGATGTTGATGCTTTTCTCGTATTCCTGCTGTGATGATCAACCGTATCGGGCATGGCTTGGCGGCGAGCTATGGGGCGTGTTTTGAAGGCGGTGTCCAGAACGATTGGTGCGTGCCAGGGGGTCCGAGGAATCACTGCTCTTATTTGCACATGGTTACGGGGACGTTCGTTGTTCGAAAGGGCATGAGATCGCGAGGCAATCGTAGGTCACCCTGTTGACATTGACCAGACGACCTGTCCACCAGGAATATGCAACGGCAGTGTGTTCCTCTTGTCGACCGTGGTCTTCGGTTCATCCAGGAAGGCTAGCTTATGCCTGTTATTCTTGGTGGTTTAAGAAAAGACTTACTTCTTCACGCTTAGGAAGTGCTCCCTAAATGGCCAACCTATTTTCTCCCCTGAATCTGGGGAAGAAAATATTCCCAGCACTACCGCCAAGCGCCGCGTTCTGCAAACACTAGGACAAAACTTATTCATATTACGACAGTACCCTGCCTGGGTTGGCTTTTGAGTTTTCATTTTGAAAGATAATGTACTATACGCCTAGGATGACTAGAAGTATTCATCTTGTTACATGATGTACTCCATGCCTGGGTACGTGGTTGATGTTGGGAACACGAGCTAAGAACTACATTTTACCTCAACTGGTTCTTGCCGGTACTGTACGTTCTGCAGCAATCCCATCCGCTGCTCGCGCCCTCTCAGCTGGCCGTTCAAGGCTCCGCCCCATAGCCAAGAAATCCACCGGCAAAAAAGTCCTCCATATTAGGAAACATTTCGCTCCAGTCTATCTCATACTCGTGGGCCACGGTGTTCGCCCCACGAGCCACTCCGTCCGGTGCCAACATTTCAGTCACTCTTGTGACGCTATCTGTGAGAGCAGCTCCGGCCATGATCTGCTGGCTGCCGTCGAGGCGAGGCAAAAGTTTCTGCTGGGCGAGGTTGCCGAACCTGCCCGCCCATGACTTGCTGGGATCTTGGCCCACCCAGTAACTGACTTGCGCGACAAGGTCTGCGGCGCTGCGATCCGGGAAATTGGAGACTGTCTCGCCGTAGTGCGAGAGGATCAAAGCGCCGTAGACCAGACGGAGGCACATGTTGGAGCCGAGAGAGGACTTGAGATGGGTTGGCAGTTTCAGGAAGGGTTCTGCAGTATCACACGTGCGTGAACACAGGCATCCACTCTGAGGTCCGCTTTCGCCTTCTCAGCCGTATTTGGGGAATCCGCAGTGGTTCGGGAAGCGGCATCGTCGAAGGCCTGAGAGGTTGTGGCATGGTTGGACATGAATATGTTGGATGATAGGCCTTCATCGAGCTCCTGGAGGGATCTCATTATGAGAATGAGAGACGCGGAGTGATGGCCGATCTTGAGCTTTAGCGCCGTTGGAAGGTCTGGATAAACGAGCATAGTTCAGTATGAAAGATGCTTTTTCACATTTCAAGCTTGACCTACCAAGTAAGTGGCGCCAGCGCGCTTCCCAGTCGGCGAAATAAGTGCTACTGGCAATAAACTTTCGCGGCTGGCGTTTCTCTAGCTTGCTGAGGAGGGAGGAATACAGAGAAGCCTCGGCTACCAGCATACCATCCTGCATGGAGGCGTCATAGAAACTCAGCAGAATGTTGCAGTGGTCCAGGTAGTCCTTAGGGATGACGGAAGGCCGGCCTGTGGTGGCTGCCCAGCTGTGAAAATTGTTAGTGGTCAGCGGCGAGGCAACATTAATGGACGTACTGCAGGTGATGCAACGATATTGTAGACCACAACCGAACGGCTTTTTGGTCTTCCAAATTGGCAGTTTCGTTCTTGATTTTGTTGACAATGCTTGAGAAGCTGATGCTCAACATGGCTTGCTTGGCGCAGTAGCCTGTCAAGACCCAACTGTCGATATACTCAGAGTTGAGCTGGCAAGCACGCGATCAGTTCACTTTCAGGGTCTACTAGGGGAGTTCAACCTACATGCTTGGCAGAAGATCCATTGTCGCTCATGAGGAAGATTCCATAGATTTCCTCCAGGGTCAAAGGACTGATCAGGAGAACCTGGCCTAGGGACATCCTGACGCGGTCATGAACCTTTTGATGAACGGCATCCACAACGAGGTCGGGCCGGTGTGGTATGGCCTGCAGGCAGCACATACTATGAAGAAATGACGAGGTCTGTCGAAGATCATTGCTCGACACAACTCCGATCATTTCCTTCAAAAGCCAATCGTGCTTCCCTTGAGCATGAAAACTTGGCGGCCACGTAAGCTAAGTTGAATCTTCGACGAGAACCCAATGGAGCCCACTCACGTTCTGATGAGCTCATATGCTTCTGTTTCGGACAAGATAGCATCATGCACCAGGTCGCCCTTAGCAAGGCTTCGCGGTCTCGTGTAAACACCCGTGTACCGGCGGCCAATCTCGCGGAGTACTACGACTGGCGCGGAGCTGACAGCGTAGTCCGCAGGGTCCAATATTCGGCCGGGGCCAGACTCATCGCCTTCAGGCAAGGAGGCAGCCTCATCATTGACCGGGGGTTCTCTCTCTTCTTCTGAGGGGTTCCCACGACTGGTCCTGTCGTCCATTCGGTCTGTGACCGATTGAACGAGGCGCGTTAACTGACGTAACGCATCCTGTGTCTCCCGTTGAGTCTCGAGCAATCTGTGACTCATCGCGTCAGTCATTTGATGGAGGATATTCTCAAAGACTTGAAAGTTCATGTCTCACTTGGCTTCTATAGCAGACAATGATTTTGGGCTTTCTTGATATTGTGCTACGACGTCCACGTCCTCGCGGCGCGAACAAGAGATTCTGCAATACATTGTCAGTATGACACGGACCATGGTGGCCCTGACAAGGGTCGTGGAGGATCAGTCACCGTAGATTCTGGCATCTGCGGCACGCTTGCGCGTGGATGTCGTAGTCGCATTTGCACTTCAACTTCTGACACGACTCGCAGGAAAAGACGCGTCGCCGACGTTTCTGGGCCGGCTGAGGCTCTTCGGATTCGCCGTTTGCCACGCGGCTGGGAGATGTTGGTCCAATTGTGCGCGAACGCTTCTCATACATGTTGACGGAGAGATGTAGACCACGATTGCGATGCAGGCATCCCATGAAGATAGGAATGTGGTGCACCAAGAAATCGAGCGTCTACCGCCTTGGAGCAAAGGGTGACAGACCTGTTTAGGCCTACCGCGGGTTTTTAGCGAACCTTTACCCCACACATCCACAAAGTAAGCCTACGGTCCGTCTCAGCGCCTACCGTCGTCACCTGGAGCATCGTATGGAACGTCTCGTTGAGCCGCCTTGAGAATCATGTCTGTCGAGAGTTTTGTCAATCTTTCTGCAATACCCTAGACTTGATGCGTCTTGACATGGTATGATGTCCTCATTTACCGCCGATTCTGCGCACGAGGTACGAGCAAAAACAGAGCATGCACCATGAACCGAGCATGAATAGGAGCCTATGCAGTCTCAGATTCTGAAGACAGGCAATATGCTACTCGTAGACCATCTGAAGCCTGTAGATCACTGTAGATATGTGAATAGGGGCCTACAGTGTCGTATTTGCATATGCATCGACGCTGGATTGGTCATATCCTGCAATTCATATCTATCGGAGGCCGTATTCTCCTCGCTAATGAAGTAAGGAATGATGCTGAGGATAGAGGGCGTTGAACAGTGAAGTAAAGCCCGTGTGTCGCCGATTGCTGGACAGATCTTATCTTGCGAGGATCATCGGCAGATGCGGGGTACGCCTCCAGCGTGCTTCGTGAACCACCGGAGACCGACGGAGACCGTCAACGCCTCATGTTCGCCCACCCTGTCGTCTCTTGGCCTCGCACCTGAAGATACAATCCGTAATCGGTATCATCCATATTTAATCGTCAAACAATTGATAATCGAGCACCAGAGCGGCATATTAGAATTCTTGCAGTCTACAACCCCGCGAAAATGACTACGACTTCAACCAAGACCAAGTCTCCCGAGACCTATAAGCTGGAACTGGCTTCGGCCTACGGCTCAGTGTATCGGGATGTACTGAAAACACCCCCTCGAGATTGCAACAGCTCTGAGGTCCCCATAATCGACTTGTCTGGAATACAAGGCAGCGAGCAAGAGAGGCGGGCGCTGGCAAATGTCGTTCGCGACGCTTCGCAAAATACAGGATTCTTCTACATCAAGAACCACGGTATCGCCCGCGAGAAGATCGAAGCAGCTTTCAAGCAGGGCCACAAATTCTTCGCCCAGCCAGTCGAGCAGAAAGAAGTCATAGCACAGAGGCACTCCAATTTTTACAATGGTTGGAGTCGCAGGGGCCATATTTCTCCAACCGAGTCCATGGACCTCAAGGAAGGCTTCAGCTTTAGGTACGACCCCAAGTACGACCCGCAGGAGAAAGACTTGGACGCCATCCCACCAGAAGTTCAAGAATGGCTCCGCGGCGAAGACTTTGTGTGGGAGGGGACCAGTCACCTACCCGGGTTCAAGGACGCTATGCTCGCCTATTGGCAGGCATGCTTGTCTCTTGCCAGAAACATGATCAAGATCTTTGCCCTAGCTCTCGACGTGCCCGAAGACTACTTTGACAATCTGGTCACTTACCCTGGAAGGTTTGTACCCCACCATCCCCTCCTCTGCTTGACTATGACAACTGACATTCCCGCAGCGACGGTGTCATCAACTTCTACCCCAGAAACACAGCCGCAGAGGACGCCGTCCTGGACGTCGGCCTGGGCGCACATACGGATCTACAGTGCTTCACTTTCCTCTGGCAAGACCACATCGGAGGCCTTCAAGTCCTCACGAATGAAGGGCAGTGGATCAAGGTGCCCCCCATTCCCGACACGTTTGTTGTCAATATTGGAGACTTCTTGATGCGGCTCTCGAACGACAAATTCCAGTCGACCGTTCATCGCGTCTTCAACCACGCACCTGAGGACCGCATCTCCATGCCGTTTTTCTTTGGGTTCAATTTCAACGAGACGTGCTCCGTACTGCCGAGCTGTACGGACGAGAAGAACCCACCGAAATACGAGCCGATCAGCTGTGGGAATGTAAGTTTTATTCCCAAATCAGAACCATATGGCTTTCCAGCAAATTGTTGACAGGCATGTCAGTGGTGTGCGCAGAGATTCGCAAAGACCTTCACCAAAGACTAGTGTCGCTTGCTTTCCATCTTCATTCCGGGGCCTTGAGGAGGTGAGAACCTAGCGTCGCTTGCCCACAGTTAGACACTCCATAGGAGATGCGTGTGTGTTCAGTAGCATCAATGAAGCCCAGTCAAGACGGCCTCTTGGAAATATTGCCTGGATTGGGTACGAATTTTCAGGCACCGACGTCTTGAAATTGCCTGGAAAACGATCCTTCTCGAGTTCTGCCAGACTTCGGCTGCAGGTACGAAATTTATGGCACGACTTCTGCACTGCTTGCAATGTTTTGTATGGTTTAAGTCGGCGTTTTCCCTAGTTAACGTATCCTTCCATGCTCGGGATCATCATAGTTCTTTCCGTGTCTGAGGAGTTTGCCTGATGGGGTCGCTACAGCAGGCTGTTACTTATACCACAATTCGAATAATTAGCGTCATGACCCTTCAAGCCCTGTGAAATGGACTGACGGCCTCTTGAATGTTACATTATTTCCATGATTGCAGAGCAAATTTGAGGCCCTGCAAGCCACGCAAAATATTCCATCTTGGCCCTACATCAGTATTTCGGGAACTCCATGTCCTCAAAGTCACAGAGATGCATTCATTGCATTCATAAAACCCATTCTCACCAGCCCTTGCACGACCGACCTCGGTCAAAGGACCCCTTCGCCGAATCCACTCCGAAACCGTCATCTCACCCGCCCCACGAGGCCATTTTGTCTCGTCAGCATACGCCACTCATTCAGCCCTCTCCATCAGCGCTCCGGAACCTCCGGCCGCTTGGAAGCCTCCTGTACCCCAAAACCCGGCCAACACCCCTCGTGGCCGAGAGCCTCATCTGCCAAGATGGACTTTCGACAGGCATCTCCCCGGAGTCTCGCGCCGTGCAGTTCGACGCCACGGCGCCCTTTCTGCTTCCTGATCTGTGCGGAAGAGAAACATGATAGACGAGACGCACCCTCGGAGAGTTTGTGCGCAAAGCGCCCCAGATGCCGCGCCATCCGGCCCGGCATGATGGCTGTTTGGCCGAGAGCCCGGCCCAGGCCTTGCAGGCACGTCTGATAAATATAGCCATGTGCTCCTCATTGCAGGAACTACTGCCTTTTATCTTCACAATGCCACAGAATTGATCCGAAGAACACACCTCCGATTCGATAGCACGTCGAATGAAGTACCACGACATTGGTACTGCCACATCCAATGACAACGGTTGCATGACTGGCTCAAAGACTTCCGATCGGCGATTTCAAGGCATGCTGTCCATTTGTTTATGCCCGGCATGCGCCTCCCTTTTGTCGATGCGCCGAGCCGCATGAAGACGCTCAAGCATGCATCTACGCCGACATCAGTACTTACTCGCCCTCACCATCACCTACGTCACTTTACGTCACTTTATAACAGTAAATCAAGCATAACACATGATCCGTCATGAGATGATAGCAAATCAGGAATGAGACTATCAAAAACTAAACGAAAGATTCTTACAATAACTCCATACATCCCCTCCTCAACCGGACCCACATCCCTTAAACGCGGTCAGTGTTGTCGTGAACGTTGTTACGCTCGGCAATCAGGTCCTCATCAACCATGTCCTCGGGATCACGGACACCTGTCATCTTCTCAATGATGCCAGCAGCGAAGATATCACCAGAAACGTTGACCATGGTGCGGAAACGGTCGATGAACCAATCGATGGCGACGACGACGGCAAACATATCGGTCTCAGGGATACCGACGGAGGAAGTGATCATGAGTGTCAAGACAAGGGATGACGATGGAATGGGTGTAGTCCCGATGGCCGAAAGAGTGGACAAGAGGAGGATCATGATGTACTGGCCGGCGTCGAGCTTGATGCCCTGGGTAGCAGCCATGAACACGCACACCATGGGAAAGTAGATGGCGGTGCCGTCCATGTTGATCAAGCAACCAAGAGGAACAGCGAACTTGTTGACGGTAGTGGGAACGCCACGCTCGCGGACGACGCGCAGAGTGACGGGAAGGGTGGCGGCAGAAGAAGCGGTACCCCAGGCAGTGAGCCATGCGGCCGACGACTTGGCCCAGTAGGGGTAAGGGTTCTTTCGAGTAAAGGCGAAGAAGAGAATCGGCAAGATGACCCACAGGTGGATCAGCATCGAACTGATGGAGCCGCCGATGAGAACACCGAGATTGGTACCGACACTGGCCATGTCGAGCTTGAAGAGGTTGGGAAGAATCAAGAAGAACACGCCAATGGGCGCCAGCTTGATGAGGAAGGTGATGATCTTGGTGATCATGGCCTCGACCTCAATGACGGCACGAAGAATGGCGGAGGTTGCGGGGTCCTTGATCAGGTATCCGACAATGATCGAAGTGACAAGAATCGCGAGCAGCTCGTCGTTGGCGAGAGCGTAGACGACGTTCTGGGGAATCAGAGTGAAGAAGAGCGTCTGCACAATCTGGTGAGGCTTCCTCTCTTCCAACTCAGAATCGCCCTCTCCCGTGGCGGCATTCTCCATCATGGGCTCCCAAATTTGAGACGTCATGATGATGGAGAAAGCAATGGCGAGAATGGTCGTGAGAACGTAGTAGGAGATGGTCCACTTCGCAAGGACGGCAGCACCTTGAGCAACCTCGCGCAGACGCTGGATGGCCAAGATCATTGCGCAAATAATGAGGGGGAGGACTGTAGAAGCAAGGTTAGTGAGCGACGTTATA